GGGGGCTCCTCCAGAGAGGAGGAGTCTAAGAGAATTACTCCAGCCAGTGGGTAATAGGTGGGACTCTGGGAGAAAAGCAAGAGGGAAGGTGACACTTCCTTTAGTGCCTTGCCTTGGTATCTGAGAGCCTCAGTGGCACCACAGTCTATGCCCCTGTGAAGGCTTCTTTGTACCTCTAGTGTCATGACCCTGAGGGGTCTGACTGGGATAAGTAGCCCCAGGCACCCTCTTTCTATGTCTAGTCAGTATTTTTCCTCTTTGGTGTGTTTTGAAGCCATATCATACCCAGTAAGTCAGTATCATGTTTCATACTTGAGTGGCCCAAAACCAGCACCAAATCCTTGGGGTCCCAAAAGCTTGACAGGTAGAACCTGCCAAATGAGGAAATTGGCTGCAAGCTCACTTCTGCTGTGTTCTTGTTGAGAGGAGCAAGCTACCTTTTCCAAAGACAGGATGTGTCCTAGAAGAGCCAACCTTCTAGGCAAGCTTATGACGGTTTCCCTTAAATGTGAGCCTAGTGCTTCCACCAAGTCGAATGAATTGCTTGTGTTTGGGGCCACAGCAGCTGCTTCGATAAGTACCACATCCTCCATGCTACATACAACTAAATTAATATTGTTTCATTTAATATTTCAGGAGGACCTACCTGTGCAGGAGAAATTTTGCCATCTCCCTAAACTGGTGGTGTAAAGGCTGGTGCTGGGAGGAAACCCCATCTCTGGGGTGGGCAACTCTGTCCAATGGGATTGTTGATGTCCCATTGTTTTCTCAATTCTGAGAAGCCTAGTACAGTAGTACTGATGTAATCACTGAAGCCTTTTCCCAGAACAAGGGAAGGCCCAATCCTGACAGAAGGTCTCAAGTTCTAGGGGTCTGGCTGTTGGCTGTAAACCCTGTCAGAGAGTTTGGTTCGTAATGTCAATGCAACTTTGGTTTTCTTCAGGACTGGCTGGCCTTTCAAGGTCCTGTATCCTTATCTTACCATCTCAGCAGGCCTGAGAGGCAGGGTGTAAGGTCTTCATTATGAGCACTGCTTCTGCTTGGGAGCTGAGGGGCATGGCATGTTGCTGACTGTGGGGTGACAGTGAGTATGGAGGTGGGCAGGAGCCCTGGGGGGTCATTCTCTAGGTGAGCATGGTGGTCATTTTCTCTGGTATATTCCCATGGGAACTCTAGGTGAGGGTGGAAAGGGTGAGGGTGGAGTGGTGTGGCATTTCTGTTTTAAATAAACATTTCAACTCTCAGCTAGTACTGTGCTTCAGTAAGCCTGTACCACCTCTGTCACTGGGGACAAAACACCTGCAGTCCTAGGCCTTGGGAAATCTTTGATTCTGTAAGTCTTCTATAAATAAATGATAATAATGAAAAAATGTTCTTCTAACAGAAACGATGCAAGAAACACTACACAGAAATAACCTCTGCTGTTTTCCAATCTTACTTGCCAGAAAAATCTTTTTTGCTGCTACAGCTCTTTTCCTCCAAAAGTTTGTAAAAATGCAGAAAGTGCAGATGGGGAAAAGAGCGACATTAAAAAAAGGGTCCTGGGATAGCAAGGTAGCTCAACAGGTCAGCTGAGGATCTGAGTTCTGTGCCTTAGGATATTTTGCACTTTCCAGAATTGTGCCTAGGACAGCCATAAGTTTTTTTCCCTACCAAACAGCTATGCAAACAGAAAAACAGTTCAACAGTGGCATGCACTGGGTTGAGAAAAAACACAAGACAGAAGAAATGTCTTCAAATGGTTTCCTGTAGCTAAATCTTGGTAATTGTCCTGCTCGTCCCCTATGCAGTGCTAGGTATTTGAGGCTTTCCAGTAGTGTTGCTTTGATTACAGTATAGCCTGCATTATCCTCTGTGCCAACACTTTGCTGACAAGCCAGCTTATTGTTAGCCAGATGCTGGAAAGGGTGAGGGTGGAGTGGTGTGGCATTTCTGTTTTAAATAAACATTTCAACTCTCAGCTAGTACTGTGCTTCAGTAAGCCTGTACCACCTCTGTCACTGGGGACAAAACACCTGCAGTCCTAGGCCTTGGGAAATCTTTGATTCTGTAAGTCTTCTATAAATAAATGATAATAATGAAAAAATGTTCTTCTAACAGAAACGATGCAAGAAACACTACACAGAAATAACCTCTGCTGTTTTCCAATCTTACTTGCCAGAAAAATCTTTTTTGCTGCTACAGCTCTTTTCCTCCAAAAGTTTGTAAAAATGCAGAAAGTGCAGATGGGGAAAAGAGCGACATTAAAAAAAGGGTCCTGGGATAGCAAGGTAGCTCAACAGGTCACAGGGGCTTTCTGGACAAGCCTAGTGACCCGGGTTCAACCCACTGAATCCACAGAGTGGCCTGTGACCTCACACATTGGCGTGTGTGTGCCTGCTTTTGTACACACCATGCACACACACAGTAATGGAAGAAATCAGGTTTCTTTTACGGACCCCCTTGGTCCTGATGGGGAGACATCTCTAAGTGATCATGCCAGTTTGTCTATAAAACCCTCAGGAAAGCTGAGTTGTATTTGGTCCCCTTGGCATAACAGCTGTTACTTTTCTTGGCTGAGCTTTGCACCAAAGTTTAAAACAAAAGGCTTCTAACGCTCCAATTTCATTTGGTTTGTTATCTGTTCAGAAACATTCGTGATAGGAGGAGCAGCCCATAGAAAAATATGTCTTTTAGAGAAAGTCCTTCACATGAGATCCCCAGGCCTCAAAGGAAGTAGCAGTCATGATAGCAGGAGGGTGGGATGGACTGTAATCAAGACTGTGAGATTGCCTGCAAAGCCAGAAGTCGTTTATTGCCTCAGTGATTAACTGCAGACATAAATGTGCTGGTCATTAAAGCTCACAGGTCGTGGGCTTTGGAGAGGAAAATCCATCACAGCTCCGCTTGCCATCTGTGTTTTGTGAAGGGTGATCGACTGGCTGAGCAAATGTTGACAAGAGGCACTGTACTGTGTGAGCTAGGAAATCCTGGCTCGGGGTGTCTGCGCACACTTCTAAATGAAGAGAGCTACCTTGTGAGTTTCACTAAGAATTTCCCTTAGCTTTTTGAACTTTAAAATGTAGAATGTTTACATGTGCTTAAAGTAAAACAGACTATGGACATTTACAAGCAGCATCTATGTGACCTCTATCCAGGAAGAGATCAAGGTTGTAAAACAGCTCTTACCGCCCTCAGAGTCAAAGCTGGCTGAATTCAGAAAACTGACAAAAACTGAGGTCAAAGGGAACACAAAGGCATGGGTTCTTGTTTTCATTCTTTGGCAACTTAAGAATGAGTAACTGCTTGGGTCTATAGAAAGACCTGAATGCAATTGTTTCCTCTTGAGAGCTCTTAAGTTGTGGCCCTAATAACATTGTGGAATCCCAAATCCACATGTCTAAGAGGCCTAGCAGATGAAGCAAGGGAATCTGGCTTTACTTGCCATCATTCCCAACTGAAGGAGTGACAGATTGTGCACCCCTTCCAGTGTGTTCTGTGGAGTTGCTGCCAGTGTTTCCACCACCTCCATTTTGTCAAGATATGCTCCTACCCTAAGTTTTAAAAGTCAGAACACATTTTTGAATGCTTTATAACAATAAAACATCTGGGGTAGGGTGGGAAGGAGTAGGGGGCTGGAGAACCTGGGTGGCGCACACCTTTAATGCCAGCACTCCGGAAGCAGAGGTAGGTGGATCTCTGTGAGTTCAAAGCCAGTCTGGTCTATAGCGTAAATTCCAAGACAGCCAGGCTACACAAACCCTGACTCAAAAAAACAACAACAAAAAAATTCTGGGTTCCCAGCATATGGGGTGGTTCACAACCATCTGTAACTCCAGTTCCAGGGGCTCCAACACTGATTTCTGCAGGTACCCAGTGTAGTCAGAACACTCAATCTTTTTTTAAAAATTTATTTGACTTTTTTTTTTTTAATGTGTGTTGGTGTGAAGGTGTCAGATCCCCTGAAACTGAAGTAACAGACAGTTGTGAGCAGCCATGTGGGTGCTGGGAATTGAACCTGGGTCCTCTGAAAGAGCAGCCAGTGCTCTTAACCACTGAGCCATCTCTCCAGCCCCAACACTTTAAAAATGTTGAGCATCAACCAGGTGGTGGTGGTGGTAGCGCATGCCTTTAATCCCAATACTCGGGAGGCAGAAGCAGGTGGATCCATGTGAGTTCAAGGTCTACTGAGTGAGTTCCAGGATAGCCTCTCCAAAGCTACAGAGAAACCCTGTCTCTAAAAACAAAATTTAAAAAAAAAAAAAGTTGAACATCTGTGGAGATACAACTTTGTGACTTTAGCCACGGCTTATTATCTGTTGCTTTTAACATGGAGTAAGGAACTTGGTGTACTCAGTAAACTTTCCTGGAGGAACCGGCACATCAGGCTAAATATCCAGTGGTTCTAGCACTCATCTTCCTAAGCTCCCCAAACACACTAGTTGAGGGAGGGCCTAACTTGAAGTAGGCACTGTTCTTTCCATTAAGACCTGATACTTTTCAAAGTTTAAAACAGAAATATGTCTGTGCTCTAATCACAGGGCCATGAAACAGCATTATCCATGCTTCTTAGACTGAATTGGCTGCCTCAGGGTACCCAGACAACCTTGTTTGAAAGTGTCCTAGCATGCTGTGCAGTGGTGGCACAAGCCTTTAATCCCAGCACTGGGGAGACAGAGGCAGGCGGATCTCGAGGCCAGCCTGGTCTTCAAAGAAAGTTCCAGGACAGTCTCCAAACCTACAGAGAAACCCTGTCTTGAAAAAAAAAAAGGGAGGGGGGTTCTAGCAGCTTCTTTTTTAACATATGAGATGCATTTAAAAAGAATGAGTACAGAGAAGTAAAATTGTTTTCTACCATCCCTACCCTGTAAAGTGCAAAAAGATGTTTCATCACACAGTACACCACAGGGAAGGTTTAGGATACACTGGCCCTCTAATGTTATATACTTTTGTAGGCTTTCAGCCAGGACCATGTGTCATGGAGGCCAAGGATAGATTTCCATTAATAATACCTCACAGCAGAATCTTGCTATCTTTTATTAGAGCTAACATGTGCATATGACAATGACTCTCTGACTTCAACTTACTCATCCTTATACCCCTACTTTGAAGAGCAAGAGGGCTAACAGAAACCCTGGATATGTGCCATGGCCAGAAAACACAACTAAATACAGGCACTTCCCCAGCACAAACCATGGTCAGACTCAGGAGACAAGAGCTTTAATGCAGCCTCACTATCCAGTATCCTTACACACCAGTTCTTGAGGCAAGAACATAAACACAGCCACGGTTATGACCCAGTGGGACACTGGGGCTTCCATCTGCCTCCTGCCAGGTAGCAGGCTCTCCTCCGGGGCAGTTTTGCTCTGCAGGCAGATCCTGAGTTCTGGAAAAGTTTTTTTTCCCTTGCTTTCTATCGCTTCCTCTGGTTTACTGCTGAAGGTACACACAGCCTCCTGATCTACACAAGGCAGTTTTCTGCCTTTGTCTGCTCAGCTGTCATACCTCCTTGGAGGTGGAGGACGGTTCTTGATGGTCTTACACTTAGGTATGTGTCGTTCAGCCACCTTGGGAGCAAAGTGGCGGCTGCAGTGAAGACACTGGACATAGTCTGGGTTTTCGGCTGGCAGGACAGGAGGCAAGTCTGAGGGGTTCCCACCTTTGGCGATGACCTGCTGGACCTGGCGAGCGTGGCGGAGGGTACGGATAAAAGACTCATGCTTCTGTCTCCAGGTGCTCTTCCGAGGAGGTTCAGTCTGTAATGGGAAAGGAACATTGAGTCTTCTGCTGCCATGGATCTCTCCCTTCTCTGGAGCTCCATGATGATGACAACAGTAGGGATGTAAAAAAGGTCCTTAAGACCAAAGAGTAGAAAAGGGGGAAGAGTGATGACTAGCACTGAGGCCTGACCCAAGGCCCCCAAGGAGGGGTCCTACCTGAAGCCCAGGCATTTTCCTGCCAGGTCCCCTGAGAGGGTTGTTGGGTCAGGTAGAAAGGAGGACGATGTAGGGATGAAAACAAGATGAACTTGGGGCTCCTCTCCTACCCTGTTTATCCAGGTGCCCAGTATCCCCAGTACCCTCCCATGATAAGAGAGGAAAAATTGTTCTCTGGAAAAAATGAACTAAATAGTTTTTAAAGATATTTATTTTTATTTCATTTGCATTGGTGTTTTGCCTGCATCAGATCCCCTGGAACTGGAGTTACAGATAGTTGTGAGCTGCCACGTGGTCCTTTGGAAGAATAGCTGCTGCTCTTAATCACTGAGCAATCTCTACATCTCCTTAAAAGATTTTTTTTAACTTTAATTTTGTGTGTGTGTGTGTGTGTGTGTGTGTGTGTGTGTTAGAGAGAGAGGTGTGTG